AATATAACTCTTTTTATTTTTTGTTCTGTTTGAGAAATGTATCCTCTCTCCCTGTCCTGACAACATTTCAATGACACAGTTCCTTGCACTTTTACACAAATAGTTCATTGTATTTGTCTTATCTCATGTTCATGGTTCTCTTGAACTTGAGATAAGTTAGACTCATGTGTAAAGCCTGCAAAAAGAGTTGAATGGTGTCACATGGAATAGGTTGCATGCTCCTCCATATCAGATGTACTGGATATATTCTTCGGTGACTCAACAGGGCAGCAAGGAAGGGAGCTAAGGAAATGGAAGCATAGATAAGCAGCAAAGGGGAACATTTTGTTTTAATAGTAAGTTGTAAAACAACAAAGTGTGGAAAAGTCCAAGTGGTCTTTGTCCCGCACAAAGCACTACAGAAGAACATAAAAAAGGATGTCATGTTACCTTAGCCATATATTGTTTACCAAAAAAAATAATAGAATGCAGATATTAGAACAACCCAGAGAACCACAGCTTCAATACATTTGCTGCCTTAACCATTAAAGGTTATTGGGTATTTACAACAGATTAAAGGCCTCTTTGGCATCTGAAAGATTAAGGCAGCTCAGGGAAAAAAAACTATATACCAGGGACTACATCTGTTTAGATTTTAATCTATCCCTGTCTACTGAATGTATGCTGTTTCAACATTATTTGCTTAGAGAATACAACCCTTGGGACATCACTGGGTTTCATCTATCACTGGTACACACTAGAATGCAGAAGACAAACTCTGATGTAATGCAAAATCAATCTAGTTATTTTGTGTCCCCTAGAAGGCTTCTTCCCAAAGATCCAGACATTAGGGACGTGGTTATATAATTGCTTTTAGCAAAATATTTAATAAACATTTTCCACTGAACATGTGTGCATGGTTTCTCAGCTGTGACTCACGATGTTTAAATGAAAGTGATGTTCAAAGGATGCCAAGAGACTGTGAGACGTGTTTTATTAATGTGTTTAATAGATTTTTAGAACTTTTTCATTTCACGGGGTAGAGGTGGAACGAGGAAACAGAATATATATAATTATTTTCCAGTGTATATGTAACAAGTACACATGTACGTTGTCTATACAAAGGTGCAATATAAAATGTACATGGTCTGTCCTGGTAAAATGATCATTTACGATTTGTATTGGTAAACGGGCCATTTGTGTCTTTTATTTCTTTGAGGCTCTAATGTGTATTCCTGTATTTGTATTCCTTGCACTGCATATCACCAATATGAGGGACTTTACACATCCTATTAAAATTTTAATGTTAGATGCTGATTGCAGCAAGAGTAAGAATGTAAAACTTAGGGGTTCATACTTATTAGTCAGACTTGTAACTTAAAATTGGAAGTAAAAGTAAAATAAAAAAACACTGACAGGTAGGGTTTTTATGACAGAAGAGGCCCTGTATGTCTTTTCTGTCATAAATGATGCCTTCCAATGTTTGCTCCGCAATGTCCTGTGCTGAAATGAAATAACTCCCGTGAATGCGCATACATCATCCCGGTCCGGCTAATTAAGAGGCCGAAGACACTGAACCCAGAAAACGATCTGGTGCTTCTGCTTTCACTATCAAGTCACAAGGTGGGAGAGGGTCAAAACTTAATTGCACTAGAAAACAAATCAGGTTTGTTGCTCTGCCAGACAGGGTTGTGCTGTGGTATGGGACTATGTAAAGTCCGGTATAGACACTTATATTTTCTTCGTTCAACCTGCAGGCCGAAAAATATAAGATACCTGTACCTATTCAGCATAGATGGACAAATCTCCCGATGTGCACTTTGAATGCTGACAGCGGCCACCTGCCACTGTCAGAATACCGAAATGGTGCTTGCAGCCAAAGATTTTCCAATATGTTTATTCAGCAAAAGTCGGTCTACTGCCAAGATTTTCCAATATGTTTATTCAGCAAAAGTCGGTCTACTGCCAAGATTTTCCAATATGTTTATTCAGCAAAAGTCGGTCTACTGCCAAGATTTTCCAATATGTTTATTCAGCAAAAGTCGGTCTACTGCCAATGGAGCAAATTTTTGACGATTCCTGCTGAATAGGCGGAAATTCGCTCTATGTGTACCCTGCTTTAATCTCTGGACTTTATGGACAGAAATACAAATCCTTTGGTAGGAAAACAACTCCCTTATACAAATGTTAATTTTATTGAGCAGTTTGCCTGGAGCTCAACTTTAAATATTGCATCTGTACTTTGTCTTTCATTATTTAAATACAATGTCTCTGGAATCACTGGGGTTGAGTTACTAAATGAGATTAGGTTGATTACTCAGCAAAGGTTTTTTTCACTTGTGAATGTGGTAAAGCTGTGCTGACTTCAACTATCCAAACATGTGCAAGAGAGAATCCACTTTAATTTTCTTTGCAAAGTAAATTTAAACCTTTATTTACTTCATTCACTAAGTGAAAATTTACTTTACCTTACCAGTCTGAGCCAAATGTCCCTTTATTAGTGTATCACACGTTCCCCTCTTAGACACTGCAGCTCACAGCTACAGTGCCGTCAATCCAGAAAGCAGTGGGCAGAACTAGGTGCGACCAGGTGATGATTGAGAAGCTACAGGATTGTGAATCAGCAGTGACAAAGCTAAAAGCCATGTCCCGTGCAACATATTTTTATTCCACTGGAGTGCAAGCAGGTACAACCTACATGAGTTCGGCAATGCTGCTCTGAATTCAGCAGCAGTGCAGCATTGTTGCCACCCCATCACAGGAAGCTGTATTGTAAGTGTAGTGTAAACTGTAAGTGTAGTTGCACTTATAATTAAGTGCTGCAGCACATATGTTTTAATAGAAGGCCATAGTTCTACTTTAAAGTATTTAAAAAATAACAGCCAAGTATAAAATAAATTTTACTCGTACAATATGAAAACAAAGAGATTAACCAAATTACATAGAGTACACAAAATACAAAGCAAGTTAAACATGGACATGTGATTCTTTTGCTATTTTACATATAAGTGCATCGGAATTCAGCTGAAGCTGCGCCACACTCAATGCACTGCGCCTGTACAGGTCACTGCTCGTAGTTAGATTATCCCCCAGCCTGATCTGCCTTTTGTTCATCTCCAGGTCTTCTCTGCACTTTTGTACTTGTTCTTTCCAGTCAGAAGAAGAGTCCATTGTATGTGTGGTGTTATTGTCTGTTGGGCACCTCAGGGTCAATTCACTTTCAACCTCAGCTGCTGTAGCAGACACCAAGTTTCTGTGGGCAAGCAGCTCTTTCTCCAGAGAGCAAGCCAAGTCTCTTGTAAGATTATGCCTACTGCCCGATCTTAGTGTGTTTACCAAGCATGTCGGAGGAAGAATGCATTGTAGACTGTGCAGGCATTGGAGTGCAACAATATTATTTCTAAAAGAGAAGAAAAAAGTAAATCAGCACCAGCATTGCATGTGGCATAAAAAAAACCAACAAACGTATACATCCCTCTAGCTTTCAAAGAACGATTTCTGTAACTGCAATGATGCCACAGACAGAATGAGCACACTTTACCTTCTATTTCATTAACTTCAGTTAGAATCTAGAGAGCTCCTCATATGTGGGGTTAGCAGTTTGTTCCCTCAAGCCTGTGCTATCCAACTTTCTCTGTGTTTGGGCTATCATTAGTCATTTGCAAACTCCCAGAACTTTTAAACTGACTGGTGGCTCTGAGTATTAGCACATTGATACAGGCTTTTTGTAAGTGGGAAAAAGCAATGAGACCTACAAGGGTAAATCAGGGAAGAGCTCTCCAGTACATGAGACACCGAAGGCCTGAGCATTGATGTTCCCTGTCTATTTTAATGCCTAATTTTCAAGTTTGACTAGAGCATGCCTGTAAGAATTTCGGTACAAACCATCTGTTCAAAGAAGCCTATTCAATGCATGTTTCTTCCCCCATCTCTCTTCTAAAGATTTTATTGCGCATAGCTAGTGACAAAAACTTCTTAGAAGTATAAAGCCTTCCTTGTATACATGGCCAGTCTTCCCAATTGTAGATTATCGTTCCTCCTTCCATGATGCTCTGTGCTTAAGGAACATTAGGTTCCATTCTCTGTTGACAGCAAGCAGGATGCTAGCTGTCAGACTGAACTGTGTCCAACAAATGGCAACTAAGCCGCATGGTTACCAGTCATATGATCACTATGACAGCTATAACACATGATAGACAAACCTCACAGCATGCAAAGGCCACCGCAGCCGGAAGATGACAGAGTGCCTCTGTTTCGTTCAGTAATGGTAACAAACAATTACAGGACTAAAAATTATTTATATCCAGGATATTTTTTCTGCTTTCAGGAAAAAAAAAAAGCAAGAGCAAGGTGCCAACTAAAACACTGTATTAAACAAATTAATTAAATGTCATTAACAAAAAAAAATATTTGGGGAGATAAATAATTCATATTGTTATTTAATTCAAGTTAACAGTTGCATGCTGGCACTACTACATTTGTTCTTGGACATCTTTACATTAGCTACCCTGGCCATGAAAAGGTTAGATCTGTCTAATGGCGACTTTTTGGTAAACAACCATTTGGCAAGTGAGCCAGCTGAGTGACTCTGATCATTCTTGTATTTATCAACTGCACCTAGCTGCCTCTAGAAAAATCCCTGCAGATGCTAGTATGGATACCTTCTAAATGGCCCTGAACTTGTGCAATTATTGTTCAAATCCTGCTCCGGGAATAGGATTGCTGCAGACTTGTCCACTAAATATTGTGCGAGAGAGGAAGGTTGCACAGCATTGAATCATGTAAAAAGAGGTTGTAGTCACATCAAGTTCCCCTGCAAGCAGACTGTTGAACCTGGCTGCTTTGTATTTTGAGAATAACACTCAAATAAAGATAAATTGTGTAGACTCTCATATAACCAGAGATTCAGGGTTTGCACACTATTAGCAGTTCCGCTGATTAATTTTATTTGTTGCCTGGAGCTGTTCATCTTTTTTTTTAGCTCAGTAAAGCCCCAGAACATGCCAATTTAAAAATTGCTGGACTCTGGGAATGTATTTAGTGATGAATAATTTTCTATTACAATATTTGTCTGCACCTTTTCTCTGGTGTCAGTGATCACCATTTGTATCTTTTTTTTTTTCCCCCACTTTAAATAACTGTTTAGCATTGTTGCCTAAACACCCAGCACACTATAACCCCACATTAAAACTCCTCAGGCAAACGTCTCCATTTTACGATGTTTTATTGAATACAGACAAATCAAATTATTTTGATTACTTCAAGTAGTTTTATTTAATTTAGAAGCAGGTAAGGAACTCTGCATGACATCCACTGGCGATTATTCAGCACAGCAGGTATTGCAGACAAGTTTTCCATGCAAACTATAAAGATCCTTTTATTTATCATACATTTTCTTTGAAGTTTACTTTTCCCTTCTAGGAATAGCATGGAATAAACAAACAGCTCAGACAAATGCAAATGTTTCAGAGACACTGGGTTGTCTATTCCGAAATTTATAGCTGGCAAGCAAAAAATGTTATAACAAAATAAAATGTGTACTTTAAAGTTAATTAATTCATTAACATTGACAATAATTAAAATTGTGACTGTTTGCAATTAATTCTGCTAGACTAATAGAACTTTAGCAATTCCAAGCAAAGGGTAAACCAGTCAGTGACCTTCTAATGCTATCCAGCAAAGCTGCAGCTCTGCTTAAAGTGGACCTTTACACTCAATAAATCAGATTCTACCAATGCATCCCTCCAGGTATGATAATTAATAACATAGACATGTCAGGTGCAAAATGCTGTGATTATGAAATACTTACATTTGCAGAGCACTCACTCCCTGCTTTGAAATGGCAAAATGACTTCAGTTTGCCAAAGCAATGCACACTGGTATTGCCTTGTCATCGGCAGAGCATTGCTGGGAAATCTCAGGAGATCTCAGGGAAAGGCATTTTCCTCCCCTGAGATGATGTGCATGGTCACATGTCCTAGTCACATGTGCCAGGAATCCAGGAAGTAAAAGGAGAGCTAGTAATATGCCCTTAGTAAACATGGCCATGTCAGAAGACTGGGGAAGAAAGGAGAAATAAGGTATGCAAAGAATACAAAGCCGGCAATTATAACAATTATCTAGAACAGTGGTTCTCAACTCGTGGGTCGCGACCCAAAAGTGGGTCGCGGCGTCATGTCTGCATAGACCGGCCCATCTGCATTAGAGAGAACTAGAGGGGGAATTTGTGGTTCAGCCTGCGGGAACCTCATAATTTTAAACTGTCCCCTCTCTCCCGGCCTCCCCCGGGCTCTCCGATAAAGTGGTATGGCCACTTACACAGGTTGAGAACCACTGATCTAGAATATGTGTTTGTAGATTGCCATTACTAAACATTTCTAAAGGTGGGTTTGTTGTTATGGTAAAGATATGGGTAAAGATCCACTTTAAGTTGAAAATCTAACTAAATCTACCTAAATCTGAGTTATCTGTATCTAGAATGCAGGCAGCACCTCACGGGGTCACTGGGAGTGGACTTCAAGAAGCCTGTGCCATACAAATTCCTTAGTCTCCTGTATTACCAATCACATTACGAGGGAGCTTTGAATCTTGAGGCTGTGAGAAGCTTCTGACAATTTTTTATTTACATCAAGCTTTCCAGATGTGAGAAATAGAAGGAGCCTGCTATAGGTTTGTCTGAGAATTTGTTGCCTGCATAACAAGCTGAGATTTTCATATCACTAGACTGCCAGCAAAAGGTAGTGAAGTTTAATGACACACTGCAGCAACATCTGGACGGAAAAAAAGGAGTAGGTTGCATCTAAAAGTTAAATTTTTAGTTTTGACTGGAAAGTACCTTTAGGGCTGCTTTACAAAACATGATGATCCTATGGTCTGCCAAGTACTCCCTGACACCAGGCATAAGAATATAGGGAGCGCATAAGTTATGAGTGTAGCATTTGCTTTGCTACCCACTGTTTACTGAATGTAAACCTTAACATACCAACATTGATGCTTCAACTCTTATTCTCCCTAAAGCCTCCCTTGATCTGGCCCCCTTGCAGACTTTAATTGTATGAGGAGCCAGGGTTGGGTACCTATATCTATTTCTGCTGCAACGTCTCTGCACTGTGGACCCAGCTCCTACAGAGAGCTGCACAGACTTCTCCATTCTACCCCAGGATTAGTCATTTTTGTAGCCTTCATGAATGTATGGCAAGTTTTAAGTGTTCATGGATGTGGTATATGGTTTCATAACATTTTTAGCCAGAACTAGCTGCTAGTTGTTTTGATGTAAACGATAGTTTAGCGGTCCAATCACTCACTTTGTGCAATCATTTTCTGAAAAAATGTGCCTGTTTGTAAAATGGGCTGGATATGAAACCACATATTAATGCAGTGGCTGCAAGTGAATAGGTGAGCATTCACATAGTGGCAGCAAGTGAATAAGCACTTGTTGGTACAATAGAATACACTGTAGATATAACTTTTTCATTGTAATGATTGTTTTACTGAGCAACTGGATCATTACGAGTATGGCCAATATAAGTTTCAAAAAAAATAAACACTTTGTATATATTTCAGCTGTTGTAGAACTAATCTAGGCTGGTATAGCTAATTTAGTTTGTTGAATTGATGAGAAATCTCAAAACTTGAATGTTTAATTTGCATTCTGGACAATGCAGAACTAGGAACCAGCCTCTGCTGAAGCAGCTGGAATAAAATGTCCTAGTGGGGAATGGCAGAGCTTGAACCTTCAGTGAGAATCTCTCTAAAAGGCATAGAAGACTTGTATGTTATTCAGCTAACAAAGCACATCCACACTTTATAATATATACCGTTTTGGAAGGACTGACCTTTAAATTACTAAAGGACACGGCAGCTAGACTGAGATCCTGAAATAATTGATAACATCTGTTTTGGTCAGTGACATGTTACGCATATATATGAATGAATGTTATGAATATGTCACAGGGTAAGAAAACTTGTCACACTAAATCGATGAAAAATTACATGCAGAGTAAGAAAAGTGAAGAGATCACTAGGAATAGAACGATACTGAATTAAAATGTATGTAAAGTCATTTTTTTTTAATTTTAGATAGAGTAAGAATTAAAACCCCTGCTGGATTGTCTTCTACAGGGAATATGACCATATCTTAGAGAGTTGCATGAACAGGTGACCCCATTATAAGATTTCTGCTCCACTCTTGCTCTGGTGACGGCTCTACAATTTTGGGCTCCCCGTGCTTTCTGTCTCAGTGACAATAATCACCAGGACAAATAGAATGCAAACCTCCCCAACAGTTACACTGACAGCAATAAAAAAACTTGACAAAATGTCTAACCCTTCCCCACTCTATCCGATACTAAACTAAAGCATAACTATGATAATGCCTTGTATATGTCTGTGAAAGTTCTCATTCATCCAGGTCATGGCATATATGTAAAAATTAAGTTAAGTCCAGTTGACTTGACTTAATTTTTACAGATATGTCTTGTGAAATAAGTAATTTCTTGACAGTACAACTCTTGTGAACTGGCACTTTCTATGTCATGTTTTCTGTCCAGCGCAGCCACATACTCCGTTGATTTTATTTATTTTTTATAATGGAGATCCTAGGAACATAATATTTGTAGGTTGGCTTCACTGTTCCTCTGGCATGTGAGGGTTTGAGTCGGGTTCTTCCTGTAACTCCTTATAAAATAGCCCCCCCCCCCCAAAAAACATTTGGGGTCATCATTAAAGGGGCATGGACATGGGACAGAAGTGACCAGACAGCTCCATGTTACAAGTCACCTGACCCTCAGCGGAGTCTTGGGGATCTTCAAAACTGGTTTTATCACAGGAACTTGCTCAAGCAGCTCAAACCTGCCTGTCTTAAAGAGTCAACCTACCAAGAAACATGGGTGCGAACATCCTTGACTTGGTTCTGAAGACGTGTGCCACAGGTCTGTCATCCTTTCCCTTCCATCACTTCCATTCCCTGCGTCTCACTGTCTTGGAGCAAACATGGGCAAAATAGGTGGCCCACCACTTGTAATAAGCATGCCTTTTGTGGATCAGTGACTCAACCAGTAGTAAAAGAAAGATGACATTCCTGGAGCATGTGCCTTTAAAACAAGCCAACTGTGGAATCTTCCATATCCCTATTTTGACATATTCCCTTTAATCTACCCATACACCAGTTAGATTTTCCACAGATTTGATCTGTTAGATTAGCAAAATCTGACAAAAATGATGTAGTGCAAGGAATTTTTTCACTTTACTACACAGACTCAAGTAGGTCCTTAACTACACCAGAGTCGAGAAATATTGTGCTGATGTAAAATATAAAATCTGAGGAAAATCTTAACAGTGTGTGGTCAGTTTTATACATTATTCGGCCAGTTATCTACCTTTGCTGGAAGTCTGCTTTTAGTCATGTGGGTGGGTACTATATATATA